CCTGTAATTTTAAATAATATGTATTTTTTGAGTCATCAGTTTTATATATCATTTATTGTCTTTCTGTTATTGTAAATAAAGGTCTATGTTTCTACAATACCATTCTTCTGCTTCCACCATCTTTCCAAAATGGTGATGACTATTATTAAATCAATATTCAGGATTTATATTATATATTCACAGCTGATCTATTTGCTCTGTGTTTCCTTTCTGTTTTCCTAGAGTTAATGTTTTCTTTGATTTTTTTTATTTGCTTCGTTTCTTTGTATTTAATAACTATTCCCAAACTTTCCATTGACTTTTCCAACATACTTTTCCACATCAGGTAACTTATCACTTCCAATTTTCAGAGACCTTCTTTTCTTTCTCTCTAGATTGCTACTCTCTAAGCCTTTTGGACAGCTGTAACCTGGGACTCTCCTCTGCTATCATCCTTAGAATTTCCTTGGCCTTTCTACTGAGTTGGATTCCCTGATCCCTAGATCTCAGGCTTTCTCTTTCTGGATTTACTCTCTTGTCTTGTAGAGAACATCCTCCAGTAGTTTCATCAAGTTAAACAATTTACCACAGTGGCAGAGGGTTTGATGATACAAGTATTCTATATACTTGTCTCTGCAGTACCTATCTCTCTGAAAGACCTCTTGACCACCTCAGGGGATTTCCCTAAGTTTTTTTCAGTATCCCATTTCTTCCTATTTCTTGGTTTACCATCATTTTAGGTGAAAACATCCTAGAAAGGGATGCCTCGGAGGAAATTTTTGAGACTTTGGGTGTTTAAAAATATCTTTTGTCATGGGGCGCCTGGGTGGCTCAGTTGGTTAAGCGACTGCCTTCGGCTCAGGTTATGATCCCAGGGTCCTCGGATCGAGTCCCACATCGGGCTCCCGGCTCAGCGGAGAGCCTGCTTCTCCCTCTGACCCTCTCCCCTCTCACGCTGTTTCTCTCTCGCTCGCTCTCTAATAAATAAATAAAATCTTTAAAATATATATATATATCTTTTGTCACCCTCACACTTGATTGATAGTATAGAACTCCATTCTAGCCATGCTGCCCTCCCAGCCATCTGTTACTGAAACATGAAAGACACCCTTCTTCCTTTGGCTTTCTCATTTGCATTTGCTGCATGGCTAAACTCTCTTGCCTCCTTCAGGTCTTGCTCAAATATTATATTCTCAGTGATCACTCTACATAAGTTGCCAACCCAACGTTCTCACCCCATTTCCCACTTTACTTTATTTCTACAGCACTTATCACAACTTGGTATACTATATATTTCCCATTGTTTATTTGTTTACTTTCTGTCTTCCTCCACTAGACAGTAAATTCCTTGGGGTCAGAACTTTCATCTGTTTTGTTCACTGATATATTCCAGCACCTGAAACAGTGCTTGGCACATAGTAGGCTATCAATATTTATTTGTTGAATGAATGTATAATAAACACTTATTTCGTATCTCTATACTATGCCAAAAAGGAAAGTAATAATTTTCTTGTTATGATAAATAAGAATGGATTTGATTGATATAGAATTAAGCAATTTGTTGGTCATGCCACTTGAATATTTAAAAGAGATTGTGGAATCTCTTTTTAGATTTTTAAACATAAAATAGAACCACTTGATTTTTATGACAAGTGTGTGTATCTTTTTCTAGAAGCATTTAAAATATTCTTTCATCTGTACTTGTCCCTCACACCTTGCTTATCTTCTGCTTTGCCTTCCTTTAGCTACTAGTAGGGCTTCTGGCTGCCCCAATTGTGCCCATCTTCACCCATTACCAGCATGTTCACCGTGGGTTTCAGCTAAACCTGAATTCATATACTTTGGTTCAAACCATTTTATCTGTGGCCTTTGCTTTTGGATAGGTCTCCTGCCCAGAAAGTGGCCAAACTAGCCATTTCTTCTACACCCAGCAGCTGGAATTCTAACCAGCACCCCACCATGCACACTGACATAGAAGCACACCCCACACCCTCACAGGAACCCCCCACACACTGTAACATAACAGCTAAAAGTCAAGTTATTTTGAATCTGCTCATTTTGTATACCATATGATAAAATAAATGGCCTTGGCTTTTAGTGCTTGACTTCTCTGTTGCAGTGTAAAAAACTTAACGTTGAAATGGCCTGTGTCGATGACATGTGTAATTTTTATGTAAACATCAAATGAAAACATAATTGTTTAAAATACATTTATAAGTAGTGATGAGGTTTGACAATATTTTTATTTCAAAAGAATTAGCCGTAGCCTTAATAGTTTCAATCTCAAACCGAGAGAGAATAGAGTCTTTTAAAACCACACTTAAATAGGACTGCTAGATTCAACAAAGAAAAATACCAGGTGCCCAGCTAAATTTGAATTTCAGATAAACAACTAACAATTTTTTAGTGTATTTTCCATTGAGAATCCTGCACTTTATCTAGCAACCCTACATTTATTTTTTTTAAAGATTTCATTTATTTATTTGCCAGAGGGAGAGCAAGAGAACAAGCAGGGGGAGTGGCAGGCAGAGGGAGAAGCAGGCTTCCCTCGGAGCAGGGAGCCCAATGCAGGGCTCAATCCCAGAACCCTGGGATCATGACCTGAGCCAAAGGCAGATGCTTAACCGACTGAGCTACCCAGACATCCCTAGCAACCCTACATTTAAATAGCCAACTGTTCTATCAGTGAAAGAACTTTGTTAGGTTTATTTTGAATGTAAAAGATTAATTTTAAAATGCCACAAAGGGAAGGAGTTAGAAATTCACTTTTTTTGGTTGGTGACATTAAGGCAGCAGACTATTTTAATCTGGCTAAAGTCTATCTAGTAACAAAAGTGTGAGTAATAAGATGCTGGCCCAGGAGCAGAATGAAGATATCTGTCATTGTGCTTCTTCCCAGACCCTTATCATCTGGAGGAGCAGAAAGACCACATCATAGGAACATAGGTTCATAGGCATTACCCCATGACACAAAGAAGTCAAATCAAATCACTGATAGTACTTGCAACCTTTTCATTTATTCATTCCAGATCCTTCTATGGATGTCTTAGTCAGCTCAGGCTCCTGTAACAAAATACCATTGAGTGGGGGGCCTTAAACAACAGGAATTTATTTTTCACAGTTCTGGAGTCTGGGAAGCCCAAGATCAAGCTGCCAGCTGATCTGGTCCCTGGTGAGGCACTTCTTTATGGTTTGCAGAAGGATGCCTTCTTGCTGTATCCTCACATAGCAGAAGGAGAGATCATCTCTGTGTCTCCTCTTATAGGAGCACTAATCCCATTCATGCTGGATCACCTTCATGGCCTAATTACCTCCCAAAGACCCACCTCCAAATACTGTCACATTGGAGATTAGGGCTTCAAAGTATGCATTTGGGGAAGATAGAAAACACTCAGCCCAGCAATGAAGACTTGAATAAAACTATGGGTGTATATCCAGAGAGATCGTGGATGTTAGAAAACATCATTTCTGACAGTTGAATAACTATGGGCGAACATGCCCAGACATTCTCCTCAGGTGAGAGAAAGGAGGGTACTTCTCTGAAAGCTGGGTACGTTCACCAACAAGCAGGTTTTACTTTCAGAAACTAATAAAAGTAATATGATTCCACCTTTCAGAGCTGTTTATCACTTGGAGTTTCAGTTTGGGTGATTGCACTCTAGTAAATTAGCTGACTGAGAGTCCAAAGATTATATCTGCATCCAGACAGTCCATTCATCATGCTTAGCATTCGGATTTCAACCCAGCTTTCCCACATATTTGCCAAAATGCCACTGAAGTAATCACAGAAAGCTCCTTGTTTTGATCTACCTAATGCCTTAAATATTGTCAGTGGCTCTGGATTTAGGTTTATTGGAATATTTTAATAACCCACCAATCTCTTTATCTGAAAGTCTCATATAACTACTTTCTTAGTTCATAAATACTTACTGATTTTAATTTTGTACCAAAAAGAGAATAGACTTTAGAAGTTTGATGTGTTCTTACCCAAGGAAGAAATGCAAAGTGGCAGTAGAAATTATCAAGTTATTCTCATGTAAAAGTAAAAAAACACTTAAATACTATCAAATATTTAACAAGTTGTATGGCCAATATAAAGTTCAAATTATATGTGTCACCCACACCTTTACTTTCTCAAAATCATTTTGCAAATTGGCAAGTTATTCAGTCAGATTATCCAATTTTGGAAAAGCATAATTTAAATTTTAAGTGGTAAAACTACCAAAATGTGGTAACTCGGATCCAAAAAATCCAAATGCATAAAATGCAGGCTTGCATGATTGGAAGGTGAATAAAACTTCTGGGCCCAATCTGCATAGCTAATTGGCTGGGAGTTCCAGATGGCAATGTGGGATACAAATCTATTCTAATGCCATCTGTGTTTTGGCACCCCGTGGTGACCTAGTCAGTTTTTACCATCTGGTCCCTAGGTGTGTTGTTTCTGGCTAAGCAGAAATTTTAGGTTACTGGTGGTCTTTTAGTCTCATCTGTCTGGAAATACTTGGGCCTGAATAAAGTGAGTACAGGTTTGGACACAGGACTGCCTATCCTTTCTATACCAATTTCTTCTTTAAAAATATGACATTAAAACAGTCAATGCAAATGCATTGTTTTAAGTCTAACTTTGGATTTCCTTTTTTGCTTTCTCTTCTTTGGGGAAAATACCTGGACAAAATTAACTGGCCTCAGAAGCTTTTTCCACAGACAGTTCTTGGTCTTCACCTGCTAAGGCCTCTGCTTCGCTATCAGGCACTCTACCTTTCTTTACTGCATCCAGCATCTTCTCTCTGACTGATCAAAGTGCCACAGACATAATGCCCATTGACCAGACAGTACTAATCCCAGAACTAACCACCCCACGGATGGCTATTCTGCCATCAGCCAGTCAACTCTGGAAATTTCACATTCAACTGCATCTTCAGGCAGCCAAGATATTGTGAGAGACTTAGACATAATGGCTCTAACTAACACTCCTGCCTCCTCTGAGGTACCAAGACTCAGTGTGGATGTTTCTACCCCAGGTCATTTCTTGGAGACTACCACTCCCAATCCAGCTTTACAGTACATCACCACTAACTCTATGACCGTTGCCGCCAAGGGCCAAGAACTGGTAGTCTTCTTCAGTCTGCGAGTCGCTAACATGCCCTTCTCCAACAACCTGTTCAACAAGAGCTCTCTGGAGTACCAAGCTCTGGAGCAACAATTCATACAGCTGGTGAGTAAGCACTGCTTCCAATTCCCTGCATGTCCTTTCTTTTTTTCTTGTTACTTTATAATATCATCACTGGCTGTCTTGAGCAATGAACGTTGGAAGAGACAAGCCTCTGACATAGCTGTTGCTGAAGGTATTCAGCTAAAGTGTGGGGATGGATTCAGATCCAATAAGCAAGTGAGTTCTGCGGTGGACACTCCAGGCAGACCCTGCCACCCAGCCCCATGAGATCTTATCCTTAAGATCTTTTCATTATAGTTATTCCTAATGTAGTTTTCCCAGGAATAATACATAGCCACCCAAGTACTGAATGTGGAATTTAAAAGCAGCATGAGCAACCTTTCCCTAAGTTATAATGCCACAGGCTGTTTTCTAGCCATCAGATAGAAGGATTCAAAACTCGAAGGGTCCAGAACAGATGAGGCTGAGAGTTCAAGTGTAAGGACTCCTTTCTTAGTTCCCCTTAAGTTCTTGTAAAACTAAAAAAGAGCTAAATGGCATATCATCCCTCATCCCTAACAAAGAAAATGAGATGAAGATCATGATGGCATATATCTTTAATTATACAATACCCCCAAAACTCACATGTTTATTTTGTTTCTACATGTACAATAAGAAACACACATATAATAAGAAATGCTCAACCATGTGATACCTGTATGCAGTCACAGCCAATTAAAGTCAAGTACACAATACAAAAATCCTAGAATTTCTGAAAATAACAGAAAAAATATTTGTAAGCTTCATATAAATTAAATCATTATGCACATTAAAACCACATAAAAACCAAGGTCTTCAAGTGAACTTTAAAGGAAGACTTTATGCAATGTCCCCCCACCCCAGTAAGGTGAGGTGAGTAGATACCGGGACAATCTCAGGGAACAGAGTCCCAGTGCACCTAGCTCAGGTGTATTAATTAGGGTACATGCTGAGCTTCCATACTGAAGAGATCAAAAATATAGTAACTTACATACGGTGACAGATGGTAGCTACACTTTGGTGAGTGTAGCATAACAGATAGACTTGTTGAATCACTATGTTGTACACCTGAAACTGATACAACATTGTATGTCAACTATACTTCAAAAAAATATATATATAGTAACTTAAATAAGATACAAGTTTATTTCTCTTCAACTTGATGGGTAGGGCAGTTCTGCTCTACAGTGTCATCCAGAGACTCACATTTCCTCTGTCTTAGAACTCTGACAACCCCAGTGGTGTCTGCTCATTCACACAAAGCTGAGTCACGGGTAAATCCCTGTTTCCATTTGTGAGAAGGGGCAAGAGAGGAAGCCCAGGGCAAGCAGTCTCATAAGAAAGTGAGTGATACCAAAGTTGCCCACATCTCTTCCACTCATATTATGTTGATGGGAACTAGCACATGGCCATATCTTGCTGCAAGGGAGGCTGAGAAATGTGGTTTCTAGCGAGGCAGCCTCTTTCCTGCGAAGAAGAAAATGGATTTGGGAGAAGGGAGCAGCTAATCATCTGTATCCTAAAGACAGGGAATTCGCACCAGAGGCCAATGCAATGCTAAGATGCAAAAAATGAGCCCAGTCAATATAAGTAGGAGAGTACTGAGAGTAGACTGAGAAGTTCCACACTTTGTATAAAATTTCATTTTATTTTTACAATAACCTGTGGGAGGGGGGAAGCTACTGGCATGTGGGCAAGATTAGAGTCAAAATTCTGGTGCGGTGGGGACAGGGACAAGAAAAAGTAGACCTGGGCTAAGCCTGGGAGATTGTAGCTTGCATCTGTGTACTCTCTGTGTTCGTAGGTTTCAGTTTATTAAAGAAGGGGTTAACTTTCAGCGCCAAGAACAAGGCAGACACTGCTGAGTTTCAGACATTTCTGAAAAGGGATCTCAGGGGAGGTGGTGGCTCACAATACGCAGCTGTAGGACTCTGAAGCACAATGCCCGTGGGCAGACTTTTGAGATTATTAAATTACGATTTGGAAAAGGTCCTTAGGGAACCACTTTTTCTTCTTCCTTACAATTCAGATAAGGGCACTGAGGTACAATACAATGGATAAATGGTTTGATGAAGGTCACACAGCTAGCTGGGGACAGTTCCAGAACTGACACCCAAGTCCCCTGACTGTCAGTTCCCTGCTGTTTCCATTGCACAGCCTATGCATTGACCGTGAAACATGTCCTGCATAGACAGACAAGCTGATGTGTAAGCTTCACATCAATAGGTCACTTCAATTGGTTGCTTCCAAATAGATTTATACAGGCGGAGGTCAGTCTGCTCCTGGGCTCAGTTTGGAACATGTTTTTATTTGTTTGAATTTTTTTTTTTTTTTAAATAACTGAACCTGTCATTCCTGCTTTGCTGATAACATTGGCCTAGATTTTTAAAAAATCCTCTGTTCTCACAATTCATCATGAAGAAAATCACTGCCATCCATCTCAATAGACAAATAGAAAGGTGGAAATATGGGACATAATCAGTGCAAATAGATCATTAAATAGTCGTGTTCTGCTTTCACATTAAATCCAAACACAAAAATAAAGACAATCAAAAAGAAACTGAAATTTATGCCTCAGATAATGAAAAGTGAGTATAAATGGAATTAGCAGCAGCTGAGCACTTAGAACACAGTTAAGGGTGAACCATCTTTTGTTTTGCAGCTGGTTCCCTATCTGCGCTCCAATCTTACGGGATTTAAGCAACTTGAAATACTTAACTTCAGAAATGGGAGTGTGATCGTGAATAGCAAAATGAGGTTTGCTAAGTCGGTGCCCTATAACCTCACCAAGGCTGTGCAAGGGGTCTTGGAAGATTTTCGTTCTGCTGCAGCCCAACGACTTGACCTGGAGATAGACAGCTACTCTCTTGACATTGAACCAGGTAAAAAATCCAACCCAGAAAATGGTGAGAGTTTTTTTGGTTTTGTTTGTTTGTTTAGCAAACGGTTCAACTTTGAGGCCACAAAAATCAAATTAAAATCCCACTTGTTAAATAAATAACAGTTTGGAAGCTAATGGATCACCTTATTAGAAAGGTAGGGTCCTAAACCACGCAGGTTAAAGTTTTCCTCCATCAAAAAGCAGAGAACAAACACACCTCATGCTTCACAATCTGGGAGTTTTAATTTCACCCTCAGAACACAACTTTTGCTATGCCTTAAGAGATTGTTTTTGTTGTTATTTTTTAATGTTCCCCACAGCCAAGCTAATTTGCATTCTGCTAGAAGTCAGAAGCACTTTTTTAGCAAACTGCAACAACCTGGAGGGTTTCTACCTAAGAAACCTTCCAGTCATAGTTAACTATCAGAATGGCCTCCTAATAACCAATTCAGGATGAAACGGAACAGCGTCCTGAGGAAAGAAAACTAACCATTAGACCAAAATCCAAACTTGGAAAAAAAGCCACTGCACCATCACCAAAGAAAGAAGAAAATAATGTCCCTTCCCATTTGTACACCCTACATCAGCTTCCGTGTGCAGGTTAAAACAGAGAGGTGTTAGAGGTGAAAACTTTTAAAGATAATGGGGGTTAGTCCAAAGCTACATAATAGAAAGCAAATATCGTTCTGATAATAAAACACTGTGTGTACCATTCTAACCAGCTACGCCCAGACTAGGAACCGCTGCAGCCATTACTTTCAAAATTCTGTCTGCTAACCAATAAATTCCCCAGGGTGCCGAGGGGCAAGGCTCCGAATCTACTGCCCAGGAGACCTAGTCGGGTTCAAAACAAAGCTTCCTAATTGGCTATGAATTAGTGAAGTGAATCTTTAACATCCTCTCTGGCTTTCTGTGGACCAACAATGAAGGCAGAGGGAAAAGGCCTTGGGCAAAATGCAAACAAAGAGGCTCAGTTGGAAAACACTTATTTTTGACAGAGCAGAACTTTGAGCAACTTTAAGAAAATTGCCTCCTATTTCAGTAAACAGGCTCATTAAAAAGACAGATCACCCTTAGGCACTAAGTCCGGGAGTGCTTACCTCTGAACAGGGGCAGCTAAGAAAGCCCTGAGGACCCCGTAAAAAAATCAAAGACCTCCTAAATGCTAGTAATAGACTGCCTCTTCCCCTGAAAACCACCTCAGAACTGAGAAGGAACCAGAGGGTGCCTGCCAGTTAGGATCAGGAGACCAATTTCTTCAGTCAACTGAAAGCAATGAACAGGGACGGCTACAGAACTTGGAAAGCATAACAGAGGTGAGGGTCCAATCTCCTCCCTTCCTTCCTCCTTTGGAGAGCTGACAGGCGACTTAGAGACCCATCCAACAACATGAGAAGGTCAGCACCAGGAGCCAGGTTGAGACAGGGGAGAACACCAGTGTGCTGACATGAAGACGGGCTTCTCAATGGAGGGACCACTTAAGTAGTGCCTTAGAAACTGACAGCCGGAAGCTGGTGTCCCATTGCCAGAGATGCAGAGGGGACCCTGGTGATGCCGGAAGGAAACGCAGCATAGCAATGACTTTGGGGGGCCATAGTCTTGAATGTGAATCCCATGCGCTAACAGCAGCACTCAATTTCCACAGCTGGAAAATGGTGATAGTAAACAGTTGTGAGGATTAACTGAAAGAAAGTTTGCAACACCCAGCACACCGTTGGACACATCGTAGTCAACTAAGGAATACTGGTAGTTAATATTGTAACGTTGTCGTTATTAACTTGATTAGTAATTTGTGATCTGCATAGGGTACCCTTGAGAACAATAGAATGTACCCTGACAGGGTATTTGTGTGGAGGCTGGAACGGAAATTATGCTTATTTCCTGGGACTGGTTTGACTATGTAGCTTTTCCTCTAAGAAGCCAAAAGCAACCAAAACGAAATGCTGTTAACTTTGGTTTCACTCCCTGCTGGAGCCAAATTTATACGGAGCTATCCCAGAAACGCCTCCAGACTGCCTCGTGTACTGTGGGGTACGTGGGCAATTTATTCTTTTAATGGTAGAACAACAGGGGAGGCCAGAGCACATGGTACAGCCAGGGACATTACCTTACGCTATTTCTTACTAGATACTGAATTTCTGATACATTGAAAACTCACAGAATAATGGATGGATGGTTGGATGGATGGATGGATGGATGGATGGATGGATGGATGGATGAGGTCTGCCAAGAGATGGCTGTAGTGAGCCAGCTAGGACGTAAGTAAAGCCTGAACCAAAGAATTTAAGGACAGCAGAATTAGAAAGCAAATAAGGATTTTATAAAAGTTAAAAATATATAACAATGTAACTTTACAGATTACTCTATATATATCAAAATAGATAAATCCAATACCTAAAATGGTTCCTATTTACTGGGAAAGGCACTGTGCCAACCTGCCCCCAAAAGCATTCCTTCCAATCAACAGGGGGTGGGGAAGGAAGAAGGTACAAACAGGCAGGGAGTAGAGGTGAGCTCCTCACTGCCCCCCTAGAGATCCTGGTTTAGTTATTTCCCCAGAGGCAAAGGGTAGACTTGCCCAAGTAACCAGCAAGTGGTTGATTATCAGACCTTGACCATCTTCTACATGCTTAATCCAAAACAATAGACATTCATCCACCATCATATAACACATGAATACATGGAAGTCACTCCCTACCCAAAAGAACTTGCAGGATGGCCAAAGGCAGATCAGAACGATCAGACCTCTGCCTGTTTCATTCAAAAAGACTGTGTAATGAGCACTTTCTGATGTGCCACATTTAGCTGCAAATTTCTGAGTTTGGGAATCACTGAGGCATAATGAAGAAAGCACTGAATTTTCCTTTAAATCCCATTTCATTGAGACCTAGTGTCTGAAGGCAAGAGAGAATTCAGGGCTAGAGATTAATGTAGAGAATTCTAGCCCCTCTGGGCTGGTCTCCCGCAGTGGTGGTTGGTGGTGGCGAGGGCTGAGCAGCCAACAAGATGGCCAGTACCAAAAAAAAAAAAAAAAAATTCAGTGACACTTGGCACAATGGCAAGGAAGACCTTATTCAAGGAGGGCCATCTCCATGGATGTAGGGACCACTGCAGTGGAGTCTTGACGTAGGGGAGAGTGGACTTAGCTCCAAGTACAGCATGGGCAAGTGGGAATTTATAGCGAAAGAGCAGGATGGAGGGCAGTGGACAGAACTTACTAAGAAGAAATTCTTCTTGCTAAAATTGGACAATGAAGAGGGGAACACTGAAGCTCAAAAGTGGAGGCCAAATTGAGAATTTCAGGGGAGCCTGAGTAGAGCTTCGTCCTGGAGAAACTTCATCCGCACCAGAGCTGGAGCGACAGGATGCCAGGCACACACATGTTGGTGGCAGCAGGGCGAGCTGCCGTTGGGAGGGTGGTGGCGGCGGAGGACGGAGAGGCGGCCACCCAAGAGCGAGCAGCAGTCAGGCACCCACCCTGACGACAGACCTGCACACCCCCACTTCATCCTCACACTATCCACCACTCCTCCTCCCTGTTCACATCCTGTTCCAGTCCAGGCAGGGACGGCCCCAACCCTAAAACACTCACCACCATTGCTTCTCAACAGAGGTAATGAACTTCTTATATCTATTAATCTGCTTATCTTATAAAACTTCTTGAACCTGAATTTTAATACACTATTCAAAAAACAAACAAAACAACCAAAAATCTATAGATACAGTAAAGTGTTTCTAGCCTGAGTTCTCCTGTATAATTTTAGTTTGGGGGAACATGCACAATATTAGTATTGTGATCATAGAAAAAAGTGGGTGTCCAGATTTTAAGATAAATTGAGAGAACAAATGCAGATGATTTTCAGTAGTATTCTTCCTTTTTTTTTTCCTTTAATCTAGAATATGACAGCTGTTTTGCTCCTAGGTTTTCAATGTGACTTGACTGATCCAGATTTTCTCTTTTTGGTAGTAAATTGGAGGTAAGCTGTCATGGTGATTGACAGGCAAGCTGATTAAAATGTCCTCCTAGTACAACCAACCAGTGCAACCAATGATCATGTTGCCTCTCAGGTCCCTGGACCCCAAATGAAGATAATTACTTCAGGTTCCTTGGACTCAAATTCCAGTTTACACAGCCCCTGGCTCAATTGCTGGCATAGCCTTTTCTAGTGTCTAAGGCTTGGGCTGATGTACAATAGTGCCCAGCCCCCAGCATGTAGTAAAAGAGGTCTGAGGGGCACTTAGAATCAAAATTCCAGAAAATTCCAGAAGGTCATCTAACAAATACAAGAAACCTCCCTGATTCATGTTTGATCTTGCCAGTGTTTGCTTGAACTCATTGGTACTGGTCCAACCTGTTGAGAAAACTCTCCCTGAAAGAGAATTAAAACGGGAAAACTTTAGAGAGAAAAGGGGCGGCTGCAGGAAGTACCATGTGCCGGGAATAAATACCCAGCTTTGTCTCTGGGAGAGAATCCCAAGAATCTATGCCTGGAAAACAGAGAGGGCATCCTATAATTTTAACCTTTTCCCAACCAGAATGGCCAAATACAGCAACACTTACTGTGTGTCTCACCCCTTGCCCTTCCTTACGACCTTCTTGGGAGAAACAGAAGATCAGAAGCAGACTGCACAACAGTGGAGGTTCTCCCACCTCATGTCCAGTGTTGCCCAGGCCTGGGATCCACCAGCCCTACCCATCCCTTCCTCGCCCAACCTCGTCCAACCCTTATCAAAGAATAATCCTTAAAATGTGAAAAACAATAATTTTCATACAAATAGGTAGTGAGCGTATATCAAAGTTTTATTTCACTCATTAATAAGGGAATCACTAGGATGACAAATCTGGTCTAAAGAGGCTCTGAAAATGGGAATTCTGTATAGCCAGAGAACAAAGCAGAATGACGAAATGAGGATGTCATGCTACATAGGAAACAGGAAGTACCATCATTTTGTTTTATCCATTTTCTATACAATACCTTCTAACTCTCAGGAGTTGTAAAA